CCGTGAGAGGCTCCCTCTGCAGCAAGCCCCAGTGCGAAGCTCCACAGGAGCTTGCCGAGGGCTGGATCAGGCCCTGGTCCCCGGGCGCTGTGGAACGTGTGGGAGGATGTGGAGGCCAAGCCTCGCACTGCCTTGCGCAACCTCCCCGTGCAGCCAGAGCCGTGTTTACCCAAGCAAAGCCACAAGAACAGCCTGTGGTTTGTAGAGAAGGCGGTTGTACAAAACACCCTCAGCAGCATGTTCAGTTCTGGGCTTGATTTGTCCGGCACATTCCCGCCTGTCACTAAAAGCAAGCACCGGGAAGCCTTTTCAAAGGAATAACTTCGTAGCTAAACCATGAGTATTGCTACAGCTCATACAATATTTTTCAGTACAATAATATGAGTGGGAATTTGTAAGTAAATATGACAGGTTAACATCTTTTGAACTATGACAATTGTAAAATGTGGGTTTCACTCTTGCAAAAAGATTGCAAGTTATGAAGAGTTCAGATGTTTAATGTTACCTTCATTAATAATTCTAATTTTGTTACTGACATTAATCATTAAGTCCTAGAAATCTTACACACTCACTAAGCAAGTGAAGAAAATCAACACCAGTTTAACAAATAGTGCTGAAAATTGTTTGAGAATGCAGTTAGGCAAATAACAATAGTGATTATAAAAGTTTCTGGTCAGCTTCTGTTTTATTTACTCACTCGAAAATCAGGAATAATTCCATTAAGTGTACAAAAATGCCACCTGACTACAAGATTAGAAACAAAATCACAATCTGACTTCTTACTGGCAGGCTGATTTTAACAGCAGGAAGATAAGACAACTAATATTTAGGAAGTTATTTTGTAAATCTGAACGAGACTTGACCACCAAATGCAGCCTTGGTTTAAAAAAGAAATACTACTGAACGTGAGAAGCACAGATTTGACTAAGATGGTTCCCTAAATCGCTCTAGAAAAAAAAGTCAACAAAACCTGGAGTGGATTATCCTTGTGTCCATACACACTGATACATGAGTTAGTGATTCAGCATCACTAAGGCACCAAGTCAGGCACTTGTTTTAATGGGCCACTTTCAGTGTGGCACACTAGGCTCTCACCTGTGAACCCAGAAATAAGCCACAGCACTGCATTATTACAGTGTTACTCTGCTGGGAAAATTTTATATCCTATGAAAGATTTTATGTTTCATGAGGAAAATTTTTGAAAATGAACAGAATATACATAGCAATCTGAACTTACTTGTCTTATGAATGTAATACTTTCTGAACATGGCAAATGGCCATAGGCGGATTTTTTTTTAAAGATAAAATGTAGTAAGAATGTAACACAATGGAGAAACAAAGCTGTTCTTCATTTTTTTTCCAGTTATTTCTTTTTTCTTTAGTGTGCAGATAGTAACTACAGAAGTCTTTAAAAATATCAGCAGATATAATGCAAAGAAAATGAACTTCAGACTGCAAAGAAAGGCAGATTTTAGGAAATGTAGCTTTATGCTTCACAACTGATGCCAGTAACAAAATGCCTGTTCCTCTTTCTCTGATACAGTACAGAAGCAGCTAATGGACAGACATCTAGATGGTTCTGCATCACCTGGTGGAGAACTGCTCAAAGAGAGCTCCTGTGTGTGAGAGTTGAGCCAGAAGATTACAGAATTTCGAAGATGCTTATAGCTCACTTTGAAATAAGCTGATCGTATTCTCTCTTTTCCCCACCAGTGAATGGGTCCAATGCAGAATTATTTTACTGAGGAAAGGTCATTGTCCAAAACCGCACTCTCCTGTTCAGCTTCCCAGACTTTCCAGGTTGGCAGCCTGAACAGTGACAGAGTGCAGGGTAGACGAGAGGGGGAGCCTTCCAAAAATTAGTATCAGTCACAGAATAGTCTGACTCCCCCATGGAGAGCTACCTGTGCTATATGTGAGACAGGAAGGCAAGGTATTCCTTCAGCTGGCTTTGGGAAAAAAGATAAAATAGGATTGTGATGCATCTTGATGTAGTTGAACTGCTGTCTAATTGTTTGTGTACTCAGTCTTTTCCACAGGCTAATATTAGCTCTAACAAAACAGCATATGCAAAAGCAATATGAACATACGGTCTGTTACTACAAGGACTCACATGCTCGCTTCTCAGTACAAAAGCATTCAGAGCTTCCAGATTCTAAGGACTAATTCTCCAGATCAAATGTTGCTATTTGAAGGGACAGATTGGCTGATGGACCAAACAGCAGAAACTCCTTTCCAAGTGCTGGACAATAACAACAATAATAGATTTATGATTAAATAATATTTTTATTATTACCAACAACATTGTGAAATGCCCAGTGGTCTAAAGTAGGTGTTTTGGCTATTCTTCCAAGACTGCAAACCTCAGGACAGAGATTTTGATTCTGTAAGATAGTGAAGAACATGTACTATTCCATTGTTATCTCTGAAGATTATGCTGTAAGAAACACTGTGTAAGAAACAAGACATTATTTTCATCAGAGCCTTGTAACCTGTCTGACCTTAGGCACTGTGTTAATTTAAACAAATCATAGACAAACTTTTTTCTGTGTACTGCAAGATAAAGAACTTTACTGTGGCCAATGCCAATACTACAAGGACATTTAATCTAGAATTCATGAAGGTTGCCACTCGTAAATTAAAGATTACAATAGGATCCAAACAAAAAAAAAATATAAAGGAAACTGCAAAAAAACAATGACATGGGGATTACAGTGCTAGGTCAAGAAGCCTGAGGTGAGAAGTCAATCACTACAGTTTAATAAACAAATACTAGAAAATGGTGGACTCACGGATGGAGTGTTGCCAAATGTCCTGTTCTTACCTGAGTTTTGTGAAAAAAATAATTGAGGTGATGTTCAGGGCCAGATTCAGATGATGCAAAAAGTTTAACAATAGCATAAAATACAGAATCTGAGTGTTGAGAGTGAGGGAAAGAAAAAAAGAAAAAGGGCTAACCCAAAAGCTTTTGAGATGTTATCTGCTTTTTGTGGTTGTAAACTACTGCCTCTCCTTTTTTCCGCTTTCTCATTCTTTGTCACAATACCCTATAATTCTTTATGTTATCAGATCAATCACTTTGGAGCATAATTACTGCTGGCTATTTGTTTAAGGCTAGTTTATACACTTGCTTTCCTCCTGTGTGATTTCCTGTTATTTTTTTGCTTTATATTTAAGGTGCTTAAATCATGTTCAGTGGGAAGTGTCCAAGCACTTCCTGGGTGCACATGCAACACAAAGCTAATTCTGCAACAGATGCAGGGCAGAACCAGAACAGCCTCCTTCTTCTCTTTATCACAGCAATTCTTGGCAAACCAAATGACAATCTGAGTCGTAGGGACAGCTCATTGAAGACAGTCACACGTACTCTTGCACTGCAGGTATCACTCTATGACTTTAGCTGTAACCCTGAGCAGCACCACAGTCCATCCCATGGCAGCACCTTTTTCTCCATGGAGGAGTTTCATATGAGCTGGCTTTGGCTGAGCAGAACCCTTCTGCACAGAAGCAGAGTAATACAGGTCTTTACAGCTGATAATTTCTTGACTCTTACAATGTAGACCAAAGGGTTGTGTTTCAGCAGACACAGTACTTGAATTTGGATCTTCGGAAGCTCAAAAGATAGAGGTTTGCAAATACACAGAAGAGATATTTGTCCAAGACTGCCCCCCTCTGTTATTGTTTCACAGCTGAAAAAAATGTTTCTAACTGCTGTAAATTCTTCTTCTCATACCTGATAAAGTGAGATTTCCAGTATACTGATTTTTAGTACAGATATTTATTGGAAAAAGTACTGACAGTTAAATGCCCCTGAAATATAAATATGGAAGGCATACTCAGTTTCTTCAGTGAGTATTTGAGTGGGGGTAATTTTATTAAGCTGATTGCAGCAAATAAAAATATAAATATTTCTCTTGGCTTTCTCTATTCACATTTTTATTACTCTGAGACACAAGTAACAAAAATTTTTTTGCCTTTTCTTTGGCAAATGCAAATCACAGTACCATTTCTCTTTAATAAAATTTCTGCTAAAGTCAATTCAATATTTTATTCATGGAAAGCTAACTTTATAAGTTTAACATATGCTTAAACAAATATTTGAAAACTAAGTCTATTCCTGAAAATTCCAATCGTAACACTTAAAAATGTGTAGGGCAACAAAGTACCCACCTCTGACTTTCATCATCCACTTCAAATCCCTTAAAGCCAAAGCAGCAAAGAGAACCAGGCTGCTTAAAACTGAACAAAGGAAACAGTTTAGATGAATAAAATTTGTGAGCAATATGAAGTACTGTCTTAAAGGAGAGAGTTGTTTGGGTGTCTGTTCAGTGGCATAAAAAATCCTATGTGTTGTCATGTGATATTATTCTAGGACAAATCTTAATTATTTTTCAGAGTCTAATGAATAGATATGCTTTTCTAAAAATTGCAAATTAGAAAAATGGAAAATTCAATTTTTCAGTAATCTACAAGATGGAAAGACAGATCATTGAACAGCACTTAATCAATCTTGTTCCTCATGTCAAACATGTACTAGAAAAGTTCTTAAAGTAGATCGAGGCAGACCCGAGGTGTGTAATTACAGTGTTCAAGGGTGTGTAGGGTAGGAGCTCAGAGCAGAAGCTCAGTAGGAAATGGACAAGAAACTCTGCTTCTTTTAGGTAATAGCTTAAGATATGTGCTATTTGGAAAAGAATTCTTCCTTGTTCCAGACATCTCTTGCATTCATTACTCACAGTATTTATTACAGAGACCACCATGGTATAGCTTCCAGCACTTACTGGGTTTAAATATTCATTTCAGCCAGGATTTCATTCCAAAGAAAATTACTTCTTGCACAGCCAGCCAGAATCTGTAGCTCTTTTGCTTATTCAGTAAAAAAATGGGGGAATCCTTCCCTTACTGTGTTACACTGTACCATTGGTGGGCTGCAACTTAGTCTGCGCTGCAGCATACTCCAGAGACAGCTTTTGCCAGGCGAATGTTGTATTTGTACCTACCTATTTCCAGGTGCTGGTAGATCCAAACATCACAAAGTCTAGTCTTTCCTCTTTACTCAGGGCACCCTACCTCCATGCTGGCAGTGTCCCAGGGCCTGCCCACCAGATTCAGCGCTCTCTCAGGATGGTTGATGAAGTCTCAGCATGTAGCCTGGGAGCAAATAGGAGCAGTGATCACAGATTTTGCACTTTGACTGCAATCTTTAGTAATGTTTTTTCCCAAAACTTACTCACAGACGCACTGATGAGGCATGGGCTAAATAAGTGGACAGTGATGTGATTTGAAAACTGGCTGAATTTCTGGGCTCAAGGGGTTCTGATCAGCAGCATGAAGTCCAACTGGAGGTCAGTCACTGGAGATGTACCCCAGGGGTTGATACTGGCCCCAGTACTGTTTTTGACTCTTCATTACTGGACTGGTCAATGGTGGAGAATGCACTTTGAACCAGTTTGCAGATAGCAAAAAACCTGGGAGGAGTGTCTGATGCATAAGAAGATTCTGATATCATTCGGAGCACCCTCAGCAGGAGAAACAGCAAAATAGGAACATCATGAAAATCAGCAAAAGGATTTGCAAGCTCCTGCCCTTAGGGAGGAATAACCTCAGACACTAGTACACATTGGTGGCTGACTGACTTTGCAAAAAAGGCCCTGGGGTGGTGGACACAGCTGCTGATGAGCCAGGAATGTGCCCTTGCAGCAAAAAAGGCAAACAGCCTCATGGCCTGCATGGGGAAGAGCGCTGACAGAAGGCTGAGGGAGATGTTCTTTCCCCTCTACTCAATCCTGGCAAGACTGCATCTGGATGCTGGGCCAAGTACTGAAGTGAGTCCAGTGAAAGACTATGAAGATGGTTAAGGGCTTAGAGCATCTCTCATAAAGAGAAGGCTCAGGGAGATCTTATCCATATGGATAAATAAATAACTGATGGGAGGGAATGAAGAGAGAGCCAGACTCTTCTCCTTGTACCAAGCAACAGGGTGAAAGGCAACGGATACAAATTGAAGCACATTAAATTCCATCTGAGTGCAAGAAAACATTTGTGTTTTGGCTTTTTTTTTTTCTTCATTGTGAAAGTGGTCAAATATTGGAGTAGGTCACCCAGAGAGGCTGTGGAGTCTCCATTCTTGGAGATACTCGTAACTCAACTTGACATAGCCCTGGTCAACCTGCTCTAGCTGACCCTCCTTGAACAGAGTGGGGCTGGATTAGATGTTCTCCAGAGGTGCCTTCCAAAAATTCTGCGATCCCACGTAATGCTCATGGGTCCAGAACATTGCCCAGAAACAGACCAGGAAATTCCTTCTCCTTGCATCCTGAGGGAGAAAGAGCACACACGAGCCCTCCCTGTCCAGTGAGGTAGGAGGGGCTCCTGCCTTTGAGCACATAGGCACATCAGAGAGAATAACATCACTTTCTCTGGTGCTCAGCTCTGAGGAGGCTGTGGGTGCAGGAGTTAGCATCTTCAGTTTCTTAGCAAGCTGAACTCAGCCTCCCCGCTGCTCATAGATTTTAACATGTGACTGGACTCCCTCCCTAAATGGATCTGAATAAGCTGCACATGTCAGAGGCTAAGAAGGAGGAAAGTAGCTCCTGGCCGTGTTGCCAGGCTCATACAGCCATGGTTGTTCCTCAGCCCTGGCCAGAAAAGGGCTCAGAAACTAGCTCATATGAGGAAGTATAAACACGGGGTAGATCAATCACACCTCACAAATCTGAAGAGATCTAGTTTGACTGCAGAATGAAAAACTAACTTTACCAAACAGTAACCTTGTCATCCTTCCCATTACCTTCTGGAACCCTCCTACTGAGAAGAGAACAGAAAAATACATGACTGAGTAATATTTGGGTTTTTTTCCACCTCCCTGTGCTCCCTTTGCGCAGTTTTGCTCTCTTTCCTGCACGTTTGGAGGAGCAAGACCAACCCTAAACATGAACAGTTACACTTCAGTGGTCATGGCATCAATCTGGTTTCTTATGCATACCTTTCACTTACCTCATTATGTGTAATAAGCTTCAGATGAATAAACCTAGCATTTCACTAAAGTGCTGACAGCACTGAAATCCAAAAAGTATCAAGGAAATGAAAATGACTCATCTGACATGTCAACCAATAATGAAGCAAAGCTGGACTACTCGGACAGTCTTGCCTAATAGAGATGTAAAAAGTCACATTTGTGGGGTTGATATCAGAGAAATAGTTGTAGCACAAAGAAAGCCACTAGAAAAAAACATTTCACAAAAAATAGCTACCATTTTCAGAAGTCATTTCAATGCATATTTATATCACAAAATAATTATGAAATTGTCTTAACTAACGAAGAGAAAAATTAAAATGTAAGCATGCATGACTAATATGTTAGAGAAGGCGGATCACAATTAAAATATTTTTTCTCTATTTTTAATTTGGGCAGAATACAGTTTTAAGTCCTTCTCTGCTCTCTCAGTGCATGACTTTGTAGATCACCTAATTACTGCAAGTGTTGACAGACTGATCTTGGCAAACCACTTTTCAAGGAGCATTGTATGTTCCATTATATTTAATAATATTTACAAAATGTAAAAGACAGCTATGCATCATCTCAAGTATTACCTCTGTCCAAAATCTATGAATTGTTGTTTTGCCTAGGGACTAGTTTGAGTGATTCAAGTAGATGTTCCATAGTCAAAATCTTTGAATGTGACTGGAGTTTTTGGATGCTGGGGGAGAAAGGGAATTTAAAAGTGTACATCTCTTTGTAAGATATTTTAGTTTAGGAGTTAAAAATGCTAGTCAGCTTTAAACACATCATTTTAATGAAAGAATAAAAGATGCAATTAGTTTTTAATTGTTTACCATTTGCAAATATCCCCCAAACTTGATATTCTCATTTCCCAAGTCTTGTGAAAAACGGTACATATTGCATTCATTAGTATATCAAAAAAGTCAGAGAAATATTCTAAGTATATCCTAAAAAAGATATTTTAAAAAAGAGAAAGATTGATAATTACAGTGCAATTCTGCCCCACACTTACCAAAACCATCTATTATTTTGGTTTCTGTTCAGTTCACACAAGTACTGCTGTTGGTGGTCCATTACTTGGGTCAATCACACCATTACATATTCAGCCAGCTCACTTTGTGGTCACGAGCCTGCACTAATTCTGTTCTTGTGTTGGATTAGTGGAATTGTTCCCAGCTGTATTTTCAATATCATTGCCATGTAATCCTATTTACAGAAATTTTGTGGAATCTATACTAGCCAAGCAAAGGATGGTGGATATCTTGCTGATGTGAATACTTTTAAAATGTGGTGGCTGTAAATTGTTGTTGTTCTTTTGAAATCACTGAGGCTTGTCTGACTCAAAATGGTGGAAGGTAAATTCATGAGGCCAATTCATATTCAGTAAATTTACTCTCAAAAATCAGTGCGGTGGGTTTTTTGTCTTTTTTTTTTTTTAATGGAACACAAGAAGGAAACAGTGGTAAATCATTTGTACATTAATATTAAGAATATTGTGATCTTACTCTATTTCCAGATGTGCACCTTATACAAACTCTTTCAAGGAAGCTTTACCTTTTAACTTTTACCTTGAACTTGTGAACAACGAGCTCTTCCTTGGAATTACATAAGGAGGTTAAAGGTGCCTTACAGAGAAAGCTGAGTAAACTCAACAGTAATAAGCATCATTAACTCTAAAAGTGATCAAATAGTATAAAAGTAGCATTGTAAATCAGGAAAATAAACTGATATTAATAAAATCAGCCATCTTACCCTTGAAAGCACACACTTTGCATAAACTTAAAATATTAATTTCAATTCTGATGCAAACAGGGGATTAAAAATTAAAGTATAAAGTCATTTGAAGGCTGCAAAGAGTTAGAGAATCTATTTACCCACCACTGGGATCCTCAGGACCTTTTACTGTTGTCACAGTACTCTGACTAGCTGCAGCCACAGGATGGTGCTCATGGACTTTGGATACCACATTATGGATCTGTGAGGAGAGGAAAAAAAAAAAGAAAGATAAAGAGAGGGAGCTGGATGCTCCCTTTGGCAAGCTGTTCCTTGTCCTACCCTGACATACATAAGCCAGCAAGCAGTCATGGATTTACCTCTACATTTACTGAGTCCTCAAGGGCATTGCAAATAGACTGATCCATCAAGGGAAGCCTGTAGATGTAATATGTTTGTACTTTGTGTGATACTGTGTCTCTCACAGACACAGTATCACACAAAGGATGTGTCTCTCATCCTTCTGGACAAAATGCCCAGCACACAGGTGGATAACCGTGTTACATGATGGGTGAGCAACTGGCTCATGTGTCAGGCACAAAGAGTTACAGTGAATGGGGTGACATCAGGATGGTGCAAAATCACTAGTGGGGTTCCACAGGGCTCCATCCTTGGCCCAGTGCTCTTCAACACCTTCATTAATGACCTGGACCTCGGATTCGAAGGAATACTAAGTTTGCCAGCAAAACCAAATTGGGAGAATCTGTTGAATCCCTCGAGGGCAGAGAGGCCCTGCAGAAAGACCTTCATAAATTAGAGGGCTGGGCAATCACCAACCATATGAAGTTTAACAAGGGTTGCACCTGGGATAAGGCAACCCTGGTTGTGTGTATAGACTGGGGAATGAGAGGCTGGAGAGCAGCACTGCAGAAAGGGACCTGGTAGTCCTGGTCAATGGCAAGTTGAATATGAGTCAGCAGTACCCTGGCAGCCTGGGGGGCATCAGGCAAAGCAGCACCAGGCAAAGCTGGCCAAGGGAGGGGATTGTCCCGCTCTGCTGTGCACTGGGGTGGCCTCACCTTGAATATTGTGGCAGTTTTGGGGGACCACAATAATGTAAAAAAGACAATGTAAAAAAGACATGAAGCTATTACAGAGTGTCCAAAGGAGGGCCACGAGCATGGTGATGGGTCTGGAGGGGAAGCCATATGAGGAGGAGCTGAGGTCACTTGGTTTCTTCAGCCTGGAGAAAAGGAGACTGAGGGGAGACCTCATAGCAGTCTTCAACATCCTCATGAGAGGAAGAGGAGGGGCAGGCACTGATCGCTTCTCTGTGGTGACCAGTGACAGGACTCGAGGGAATGGCCTGAAGTTGTGTGAATGGAGGTTTAGGTTGGATATCAGGAAAAGGTTCATCACCCAGAGGGGGGTTGGGCACTGGAACAGGCTCCTCAGGGAAGTGGTCACAGCACCAAGCCTGACAGAGTTCAAGAAGTGTTTGGACAGTGCTCTCAGGCACATGGTGATTCTTGGGGATGGACTGTGCAGGGCTAAGAGTTTGACTCGATGATCCTGTTCCAATACAGTATATTCTATGATTCTATGATCCATTTCCTGGTTTTCTGAAAATTGCTTTTAAGCTAAGTACATAAATTGGGGACTGAAAAGGTACAAACTGTATCACATTTAACATCAATGAGCTGAACATCTTATTGTTTCAGAGAAATTGTTATCTTGTAAGCTACTCTACTGGACTGGTATGATCATTGGCCATTGCACACAGCTGGCAATGCAGTAGAATAACTGCAAATGACGGGAACTAGGAATCTGGTAAATGCTTTTTAGATCTGGGAATGCTTTTGAACCTTTGCTATAGAAAACAACTGGACTTAAAGAGTTTCTTCAAAGGTTAAACACTTCTGCAGTTTCAGTGGAAAGATATCTGTGCGCTGTGAATTTGGGCAAGAGTCTGCAGGATTGGGAATCCTACTCAGCAGCTGAAGGTCCTGGTTTACAGTTAGTCAAAGTCATCTCCCTGAGACTTACTGCCTTCTCCTTCCCTAGGAGGGGGTCCTATTTATATTAAGAAAGGATGCACATCTCTATATCACCTACGCCTCTTTCTTAACTGCAGTCCTTCGGTGGTTTAATTTGTAATTTTACACAGATGACCAGGCATGTTGTAATGAATATTTTCATTCACCTCTTAAATTCTCAGGACTTACAAACTTTGTGAGTAGTAGCCTTAATTGTAAATTCAGTAGGGTATACCACAGGGTAACTCATATTTGTATAGAAATATAGATTCTGCAATTCCATGTACCACTGCAGCGTCCATGCATATGGCAAAAAATGTACAAATGAACTACAACACTTTTAATCAAGGTTTATACTAAGCCAGACAAGTGCTGGAACACTTTAATATAAATATTTCCCCGATGAATCACTAATCCACACATCTCAATAGCTGGCGTGGGGGGATACTTGCATTCCAAGGCGTACTGCAGAGTAGGCACCTTCTAAATCATTTAGAAACGAAGTGAATGAGGAACTTCGGGGAGAGGAAAATGAGTTAACAGGTAACAAACCCAGAAGACGAAGGGCACTGGCAAGCCCAGCACCTGCCCGTGGAACGCTGCCCGCGCCCCCCCGGCCCTGCCTCCCGCGCACCTGGCCGCGCCCCCGCCGCGGGGGTCGGGCTCGGGGACGGAGGGTGGGATCTCAGGCATCGCTCGTGCCTCTCCCCCCCCCTTCTTTCCACCTTCTGCTCTATAATTGCCCGCCTCCTTTCGCTACCCTTTCGCCTTGTCGGATGCGGAGCGGACAGCGGGGAGGGAAGCGGCTCTCCCGCAGCCCCCTCGGCACCCGCAGCCCCGCGTGAGAACGAGCGGCCGCTCCCCGCCGGCGCCTCCGCGGCCGATGCCCGCACAGGTCTGTGTGAGCTCCGCTTCGACTCCCTCAGGGGCTGGGGGAGGCGGGCTGGGGTCGGGGCAGGAGCGGGAACGGGAACGCTTCCCGCCCACCTGCCCGGCCACCCCCGCAGCGGCGGGAGCGGAACCTCAGGGGGAGAATGGGGTGAGGGAGGAGGAGATGGAGGGGTGGAAAGTGGCGAGCCTGGGCTGGGGTGGGGAACCCCCTTAGAAACTCCTGCAAAGGCGTTACTTTTAAAAATAACAATAATTAAAAAAACCCCCAGCTAGTCTCAGTGGTGGTGTGACGAAGGGTCTGGCTGATGCCCGCGTCCCGCCGCGGCTGCATCCTGCCTGCCTCCCTCGCTCGCTCGCTGCCGCGGCGGGTCGGGACGGGTCGCTCTGCCCCAGCTCCGCACACCCGGTGCCCGGGGGGATGTTATCCCAGGGGGGGCTGCCCGGGACGGCGAGCTCGGTCCCGCCCGCCGGCAGCCCCTGGGTCTCAGGGGGCGCATTCCTCGACAACGAACTCCCCGCTGTTCCTCCCTTCACCTGGGCTATGGGGGGGGGCTCGGTTTCACACGGGTGGGTGCTGATGGTGGGGAGCGCCCCGAAGAAAGTTGGGAGCAGGAGCTCCTCTGTCCGTGGGATGCCCTTCTTGAGCCGGGCTGGGTCGCAATGGGGAGGCGGGCGGGTCGTGGCGCGGCCGGGGCTCCTCCTCGCCCCGGTCCCTCCGCAGCCTTCCCCCGGCGGGGTCGGAGCAGGTTGTGCTGTGACTTTGGCCAGCGGGACGTGGACAGGAACGTGCGGCTGTTCCCGCGCCGCTCCGTAACAAGACACTTAGAGAGGAGAAAAAAAACCAACCCCAGACTAACCTGCTCGCCCTGGGGAGGGGAGCCAGGGCTGTGTGGAGGCGGCTCAGCCTCCTCCCCTGGGCTGGGTGCACGTCCACAGCCAGGGCAGTTCGGAAGGATGTGTGCGGCGTTTGTCCCGGCTGGGAGCTCTCGAGGGCAGGTTGTAACCTCAGGAGAAGGGCCCTGATCCCAGGCAGGCGTTCTGGAGCCCAGCTGGGAGAGGAGCTGCGAGCTCGCAGGGCGGGAGGCTCACCTCGTGGCAGGGCTCTTGGCTTGGGAGAGTTTGGTGTCTGCTCCAGCGCTGTTCTGGCAGATAAATGATTTACCAAATACTTACTGGAAGGTGATATATGATATATATATATATATATATATATATATATATATATAAAGCAGGAGGAACAGGATATTTCTTTTTAGTCCCAGCCAATGTCAGCCACGAGGTGGCTGTAGACGGGTAGTTGCCTTTCCTGGTTGAGTGAACCTTATGTGTAGATCCTTGCAGAGGTGAACTTGTACCTAGTTGATCTAGCACCAGTTCTGTCTGTCCCAATAAATCTTACTTCTCTGCACAATGGCTGTTCTCTAAAAGGAGCAGCAGAGAATGTTTCTACACAGGATTGCTAGTCAGGTAGTATTTCTAGCTCTTATTTGGGAGGAGGGTTTATATCAAATCTAGCAGGTGGGGAATTAAACCACCCCTGTGAGTGAATACTTTAATGTCTGGGTTATTACGTGGAAGGAAATCCCCACATCATTAGTGGTGACTGCATGGAAGAATGAGTTGTATTCTGTTCTTTGAAGAGTTTATATTTACTTAATCCAGGTGTATTCCTGAGGGGAGAAGAATAAATACGCAATGTGAGATACACAAAGGATGGATTTCAGACTGTTTTAAGACTCTCTTCATTCTTCCCATTGCCTGTCAGTAGGCAGCTGTCTGCTGACTGTGGTCCTTGGGTGTCTGACTCTTTGGTTCCTGTAGTAGGAAGCCTGGGCACTTTGCTCATGCTTCAGATTTCTATCTGGAGGATGTGCCCTAAAAACTGGGCATACCAATACATAAGTTTCTGGTGCACATCTCTGTTATCGGATCTAGCTACTTGCCTCTGTCTTAAGAGATTTGTACTGTAAGAGATTGACCCAAACTATGTGTTTAACTAATGTGAAATTTGTTGGCTAAAACTTTGATAACCTCCTGCAGAGATGTAATTTACAATGTATAACCGCCCTATATATTTCTAGGAATTACATCAAGCATTAATGACTGGAATGTGTGACAGTAGACCTATCAAGTCCTGGGATAACTATGGCAGATTGTAAATACTTGAAAAGAGAAGGAAATGTAGGTTTTATCATGTTATCTGTTTAATAATGGTTGAGGTGCTTCAGTCTGCTTTTTATATTAGATAGTGGTTGAACCACTCACTTTGGTGCCTTCCTCAGAAGTGAAGGAAAACATGGAAGGCAAATACAGTGATAGTATGTTGGGCATATTAGAGAAAATGACACAGGAGGTGAATGGGAGGAACCTGCAACAGAGAAATATATAAACCAAAATTTACCCAAATTTACCCATAAACCTTCAAATGCTGTCTCTTTGACAGCAGGAAATCTACTATTAATTATCTTAACTTGATTTTCCTATAGAATTCTAACAGGAGAGGGCAGCAAAAATTCTTCTTCTTGGCTCAGAAAATCAACTAAACCTAGTGCATTAAAGTTGAGTGATAGATAAATGTACAATGTTAGGAACATGTTGATGTATCTTGAGAAATACTTCTGTGTATGTTGAATAATTGTACTCGGAAGTGTTAAAGGCCAGGTTCAGATGATGAAATTGGTACTGTTTTTAAGGTATCTTCTGTGGACAGATAAATTACCCTTTCTAGAACTTGTTCTTAGCACCAGAATTGCTTTGTGTAACCCAGCTAGTTCACCTAGGATTACACTGAGTGTTCATATACTGCTGCATTCTAAAGTGTCGATGTTCCTAACTGATCAGGTTAGAGCAAATGGTTTTGATCATGATATTACCTATTGTGAGTGCAGGTAGTACAACAGAGTACACAATAAGTTGAATAAGGTACAAAAAGGAAAACGAGTAGGCTGTAGAGGACAAAGAAGACTTGTGTTCCTTCAGAACAAAGTTTTGCCTTTTTTTACAAGCTTCAGAGTTCTTTACCACAGGTATCTTGATAAGGTGCTGCAACACTGGATTGTATAGAGATACATGTTGTACCTTGTTATGCATAACATACTCTATTTCCAATACTTGTGTATACTTAGCAAGGAATATACTGTTTCTTTTTATCTGGGCCAAGTTTTCAGAACTGTTGAGTAGCCCAAGTGCAGTTCTTTGTCTCTTTCAGGTAAAATATGCTTTGGTTATAAGATTACTGCCTGGAAATTTTGGCTCCACTGATATCTGTGATAAATTCCTATTTTTTTTTTAAATGGAATCCAGATTTTGCCCACAATTTTCATTAAAGTGGATGCCTTATCTTTGCAGGTTTAGTAAGTCTTTTTGATCTATGTGTTTTCAGACCTGCTGATACTGTGTATATTTGAGAAGAAGAAGATGATTTGTCGGTATGAGATACAGAGCTGTTTCCTCTTGGCTTTTCTGGCTGTCACAGCTTTCTTCATCAGTGATGCCCAGGGCCAAGGTACGTCATAAATAAGAAGATGGAGCTTTTCACTCTGATGTGCAGAAATAGTTTTTTATTCCAAATGCAAGTGTTACTTTCCTCTTAGTAGGGTTTGAATCCAGTACTACTGAAATGGAGCAGGAGTTTTGCTGCTGATCTTGGGGGGCAGGGAAGAGTAGAATTACATGTTCGTGTGTGCTCTTTGAACCTACTATCTCAAATAGCATAAATATTTGTGCAAATTTGTGTCTGTTGAAATGAGTTATCCACAACATTTTTTCCTCTTATTTATATAAAAGTACTGATCAGAAATTGCAGTGACTGGGCTCTATGTAATCAAGGTTTGAAGGATCAGCTATGATCTTAAGCTTGTATAGAATATGTTTTTTCTTTGTTGGAACAGTGGCTGTTGTAACACTTATATCATTCCATATTGCACAGATCTGCTAAATGTCACAGACTACTTCTGCAGCTTTTAAAAAAAATCCTTTGTGAGTATTAAAGGATATTGCTGGGATTGTTAGGCTTACGTACTTGTTGGATTGTATTGACAGTGGCTTGACTTCTAGAGAAAGTTTATCCTATTGCTTGGGGAAGGAGGGAGGAAGAATGCCAATGAGTTTTTGTGATTTCTAAAGAAAGATGTTTCTCTCAACTCTGTATTTATGAAATCCCTTTGGTATGAGACTGTATGGGCATAGCTGGGAGCACAATTCGATCCTGGGGCTCTTTTAAAGTGTTTTGTATAATGCATTATTCATGATCACATTCAGAGACTATTGGCCACCTGAGGCTTTTGAAGTTCTGGTAAATGCAAGTAGCTTTGTCCAGTCTGCGTGGCACTAAAGGGCTGGGTGAGCATACCATCTTGGATGTTTGGGAATCTGTGAGCACTTTACGAGCCTCTCCCAGAACTTAGGGACACATGTAAGCTGTAATATTTGATGTCAGCGATGTGAGGTGAATGAAGAAATATATGATCCCAATGTTCAGTGCATCAGTTGTTCTGGTCAGAAATGAGGTCCAGAATGTTTGTGACTTAATGAGCCAATAAAGCAAAGCATATGGTTAGTCCTTTCTCTGTATTTCAGTCCGAATACATATGGTTAAGATTTACAAAACAGGATTGGGGGTTGAGATCCATCTCCACAAAGTTTTGTGAATTTCCTTGATCTTGGAAAACTATACTCTTCCCCACTGTCTTTTTTTTTTGTTTTGTTTTGCTTTTGCTTCTTGTTATTATTTAAACTTTGATTTAGTCAGTTATGTGTAAAGGGAAAAAATTCTCCAACTATTAATGCAATGGAATGAAGGTCAGAGAGACGCTTTTTTCCGCGGTAATCACACTAGCAGAAGCTAGAGTTGGTGTACTTGATGAGTAAAGAACAATACTTCCCTTGTTCTTCCACTCTTTCAGCAAGCATCAGCTGTGGAATGCTGTCAGCACGTGATATTAAGCTAAGTGGACTAATGCCTTGGCCAACACGACTGTTATTTTATTGAATGAAGTGATATGAAGTCTCTATTCTATGTTCACAGAAAAAAATATTTCTTGTTACACTTAAAGTAGTAAGATGTTTCTCAAATCCTTTCTTTTCTCAAGGTTGCCACTCCTTGCAATAAGCTCTTCGTGCAGCTGGCTAACTATTTACAATTTAATACAGCACTAATAGTTTGTTTGTCTGTTTTAAGAAACTGTAAGCTCTGCCAAGGTGTAGGAAGAGGTGGTATTAGTTCCAGCTTGTGTTTCCTTCCTTTGGCAAAAGTGCTCAGGTAAAGGTGTGTAATGTGACTTCTTTGAAAGGAGAATATGTTTCGGAGACTGAAGCCAACATGCCTGAAGCTACAAATTATTCCTTCAGCTGAGCTATGTGGTTCTGTCTCATTTATTGCCCGAATGACTAACAAACCACATAGTACCATTCAGTTTTTACTCAACAACAATTGTTTTTTCAGCACTGCTGTTTCTTCCACGTTCAGTATAACATATAAATAACAGTACTGTCTACTTATGTTCTTATATAGTACATGCAAATAGTGCTGGGCAAGAAAAATATTTCAGAATTTTTCATTTATTCATAAAGTAACTTGTTTTGAGAGCAATGCATTTAAAGATGGAAACTTTTCTTTGTGTAGCAATAACTTCCATGTGTTACTACTGTAATTGCTAAGTAATTGTAGTGCATATTAACTTGCTCAATTCTTATGACAAAAGTAAATTGGAAGCCACAAGGTTTAGTTAGTGTCCAATCTTAGACTATTGGATGTCTTGGAGAACCATTCACAGGCGATTTATGGTATTTTTCTTTTTCATTAAGATACTGAATAGTTGAAAACATTCTTTCCCTAGTTGTCCACAGGAGTTATGTGTTTGGAGTGGTAATTTATCTGGTGGCATAAACCAAAGCCTTGAACTTGTCAGTTTTCTTTTGGGTGACTGCTCTAATGCTGCTGAAGGCCATTCTCTTTTGCATTCCTGTAAAACCACTACTACTACTAGCTACTGAT